ATGCTGGTATCATCAGCAAACATTCTTGTTATGGCTTGCGCCAAACAATTTGGTAAGTCATTAATATACAGGAGAAATAAAAGTGGGCCTAAATTACTGCCTTGTGGTACACCGCAGCTCACAGTACAAGGCTCAGACAGACTTCCGTTAACACTGCACAGCTGAGATTTGATGCAATTATGATAATATTTATATACCCACTTGTTACGCATGGCTTCGATGAACAAGCGTCAGTCTCCAAGTGGTTTCCTTCACAGTTCTTCCCGCCATTACTAGGTGGTGGATTGTTGCAATATCTCTTTCTTGATCGATAGGGTTTTCCACATGTAGCACTACAAGAACTCCATGATGACCACTGTCCCCATTTTCCAACAATAGCAGCTTCAACAAATCATTATGGCAACCATTTTGAGTAATACCACAATGCACTAATAGAGAGCATTCATATAGACCGCTGTATAACATTTGACAACGTAACACATTAAATTTACACAGATAAGCCTCCATTCAATGTAAATGATAGGGCATGTACAGGACATATTCATGTGACTGTTACTAGAAGGCAAAAAAACTGACCTCCTATCCCCCAAAAAAGTTTTTTTTTGCCTTTATAATTAGATACTTTGATTTACGAAGCAATTTAAAGTTTGTTTGCCATCCAACAGAGCCTTCTCCAAGGCACCTTTGGGTGAATCGATTCGTTGTCATAGTGATATATCAGCACGTGAATGTTTGTTAAAAATGGCCTATTACCAAACGCCAAGTAAAGCACCATAGTTAACCAAGAAACATTTGTCACGTAAACTATACGTAATACGAATTTCATAACTACCGGGTTTGCAGATCTGGCAGCTCTTTTTACAATTGACACTCATGTACTGGTGATTTCTCCAGCAGTATCCTGAAGACGCCCAGACTGGACAATGAATGATATTGTCACTACAATCGACATCTGATAAAGATAAAATATGTCTGTTAATGGTAACGTGTAAGTCACATCTTTTTAAAAACCCTACATTAAACAAAAATTGTAGTGCAATCCGTATATACTTGAAGGGGCACATATATGGACTCATTCACACTAGCGTCTACAGCTGAAAATGAACGCAACCCCATTTTGTAAGATTTGAACTACCGTTTTATATTTTACTTACTTGTTACGCACAATTTACAGCTTTTTCTGCAATAGACATGCATGTATCGTGGATTCAGATCACATTGCATCGACAAGCTCCAGTGTGCACATTTGGCGTTGTAATTAACGCACAGTGGTTCCGGTGTGGAGGGCTGGATTGTTGCATCTGTTGATGGTTGTGTGGGTGCTGTAGTTGTTGTTGGTGGTTGTGTGGGTGCTGTAGTTGTTGTGGGTGGTTGTGTGGGTGCTCTAGTTGTGGGTGGTTGTGTGGGTGCTCTAGTCGTTGTTGGTGGTTGTGTGGGTGCCCTAGTTGTTGGTGGTGGTTGTGTGGGTGCCCTAGTTGTTGTTGATGGTTGTGTAGGTGCTCTAGTTGTTGTTGGTGGTTGTGTGGGTGCTGTAGTTGTTGTGGGTGGTTGTGTGGGTGCTCTGGTCGTTGGTGGTGGTTGTGTAGGTGCTCTAGTCGTTGGTGGTGGTTGTGTGGGTGCTCTAGTCGTTGGTGGTGGTTGTGTGGGTGCCCTAGTTGTTGTTGATGGTTGTGTGGGTGCTCTAGTTGTTGTTGGTGGTTGTGTGGGTTTTCTAGTTGTTGTTGGTGGTTGTGTGGGTGCTCTAGTCGTTGTCGGTGGTTGTGTCGGTGCCCTAGTTGTTGTTGGTGGTTGTGTGGGTGCTCTTGTTGTTGTTGGTGGTGGTGTGGATGCTCTCGTAGTGGGTGGCTGGCTAGGTGCACGTGTAGTAGGAGCATTGGTAGGAATTTTTGTCGTAGGTCTTTTGGTGGTTGATTTGGTGGTGGTAAGCTGAGTCGGTACTCTGGTAGTAGGATGTTTAGTAGTAGTAGACGGTAAAGTGGGCTCATTTGTCGTAGTTGCTAAGGTTGTAGGGAATTCTGTTGTCATAAATTCCGTTCCATCACAAGATGAGTCTTTGAAGATTATATCATCAAGTCCAATATCGCTTCGAAATGAATACCCACATACCGCTTGGAACACAACCTTTCATTCAGTAAAACAAATAAAAATAAAATGTTTATACTAAAAAAAATATCAGAAGAGACTGAAGACAACAATATCTTTACCTTGTACTTTCCTGTACTTGTTATTGTCGCGTTTCCTTTCTTCCATTCATCTCCTTGGTTACCAGTCTTTGTAAATAGTAACCTCATATCACCAGTACTGGTGTCGTTAACAAACACTTTAAGGGTTCCCATTCCTTCACCATACATGTGATAGTAGAATGTTATGCATCGGATTTCTGTTGGTGGAAACTCTTTGCTGACTAAGTTTGCAGTTTGTCCTTGACTGGCTGATGACGCCTCAGCGTAAACATAATGTCCTAAAACAGATAAGACGTAAAACAAATAATCAAAGTTATATTTAAAACGTCGACCTTCAAAAATAGCAACATTAAAAAAATCTTTAGATTATAGGAACATATTTAAAATCGAAGATTTACCATTTTTTGATGTGTGATCTCCAGAAGGTCCCGTTAACGAGCTTGGCGTTTCACCATAATATCGCCCCCAGCGAAAAGAATTCTGATCGACAGTAGTGGGTTGATACCAGTGACAAATATTGTTGTCAAACTCACAATCATCGGGTCCTTAAAGAGACATCAATTACAGAGCATACCATGACATATTCGTGAAAATTTAAATCCGTTGTTAACGAAGGCTGGGTTATAAAAGTAGTCAACAACAAAACTGAATCTCCACACATTTTAATTTTAAAGGTGACCAATACTAATCTACCTACCAAGACCACAATTTAAAACCTTGCAAGATTGTTCGGAAATGTTAGTACCAACGCATGATTTGCCTGAATACTTTGGAGGTGGGTCGTTACATAACCTTGTTCTTGTTTGCTTGCCAATATCACATGACTTGCTACATGTAGACCATGATGACCAGCGGCCCCAGTGCCCGTCAACAGGCTCTAGGATTCATGAATAAGAAGGTTGATTTACTTTGTACTCAAACTTGACAACGGTCAAAGTAGAATTTACTGGAAAGTATGCGTTGGAAGACGTTGCAAAAATAAGTAGTATAGCATTCTTCCCTTCCCATGAGAATAAACGACATGGCCGCCAAGTAGCAAATGATATAATATAAGAGTAGAAACCACAACCAAATCTTTCGTTAAAGTAAAACAAAATAGCGGCTATGACTTCAATTGCACCTCTATTGAGAAATGAGATTAAAACAAACTTGCAAAAACTAATAATATAATTACTAGGCTGACATCAGTCCTGTATTGTACCCAAAGTTCATTGTCTCATTTGATCCTCACTGTAGCTTTAAAAATATTTTAGTGTATTCCTGTGACTTACTATAGCATTCTTCTGGTGTGCAGTCTACAGAATCCACTTCTATGCCATAATAATTGGCTTGAGGACAAAACGTCTTCCTGTCGGATGAAGTGCAGAAACGTTGTCGAACCTTATAGCATTCATCGTTGCAAAAACCCCAACCGCTCCATGAGCTCCATCCGCTATCTACACTGTCTGGTGAAAGATGATAAAATTATAAATCAATGTTTCGTAAGAAGCCTGAATCAATAAATTGTTGGTTTCTATCATAAGACCTAAATAGCTAATTGAAAAGCAGGGCTTCCATATAGTCTCCTTCGCAGCCGCTATTTGTGTCGTCACGCAACGCTTACTCCCCTAAGTAGCTACCATGTTTGATATTAGGTTAAAAAATTTTTTTTTTTGGGCGAATGTGTCCAGCATGGCGGCAATTACGTAAAGTGAAACATAATCATTTGATTATATTTGATTTTTGTTCGACCATGTTGTTGAAAAACTTCCCTAGGCCTACGCGTTACTAGCTCCATGCCCACCAACATGGCGTTTGCTATGTCATTCAACTCTCGAACTAAGTCAACAATCATAACTAGATATGGTTCTGGCTCAAGCCTCGAGTCATCTACCTTGGGTTTTACAAGCCTAAAATCTTACTTTTGCAGTCGTAGAGAGCGTTGATTTTGACGATATCTATTTCACTGAATCCATCTCGTTGACCAAGTTCTCTATCGGGATCGTTGATGGCTATAAGAGTTGGGTTGCCGTTCTTGGAAAATGAATATTTCCCATAATGCATGATGCTGTCGAAGTCATAATTCGTGTTCAGCACATCTATGTCGTTTCTCTTGTACTTATTAAAATTGTCTTCGTTCCCTACAACATAGATATCAAAAACAAGGTTTTACTCGTGCGCATGCCCTGAGGAGATTGAGCTACTTCTCTATTCTCTTCGATTCGTTGACTTATCTATGATATGGTGTTGGCGGATGGGTAAGAGACTGATTCAACTTTGGCGGAATACTTTTCCATTTCAGATCACGTTTCTTTCTCTCGAGAATATTTTGTTGTTGTTTGAGTTGTATCCACGTTCATGTGTCTTCTCAATCACTATCATTAAACAAATAAATTATACTCTAGGGAATAACACGTGGTCTGAAATTGGAAATTATACCCAAAAAGGTAAAGAGGTCTATTGCACTTGATTTATATTAACCAATAATATAATGCTATACCTTCTTCGATATTCTCCCACATAACCTCCACATGATGGTTTCTGTCAGGTCTAGACTGTTCGTGCCAGAATCCAACAGCATGGAGCATCTCGTGTATGATAGTACCTCGATGATTACAACCGCTGCCCAGATTAACTTCCTGGGGGCCTGTTAACCAGTACTTACGCCCTACATTTGAGGAACACCTAAAATACGACGTTATACACTAGTTTCGTATTGGATCACCTCTGATTTTAAAAACCATAGATCGCATTTAATTTGCTCATGTTTATCATATTGTTTATAAGACAGATATCCACCGATCTACCATGCATTAATAATCGATCCGAGTTCTAAACATTGGTATTAATCAACTTGCACAATATTTACATTACAGGTGATTTTTACAAATCATTTGCTCTTGAACGAGGCTGTAAAAACATCAGTATTTACTGAAGGAGAAACACGGGACTATTTCATGATAAAAACATAAAAACCACGTGCTTGTATATCATATAAAGGGCAGTTGCAAAGTGGCTAGATTGTACATACCCATCGTTACGGACAAACTTGACCCAGTTTGATTGGTCAGTATGCGGTACCCATCGCACACACGTGTGATGTGTAAACTGCTCGATTGCAGCTTTGATGTTTGGTTTGTAGTCCACTGCAACACATATATTTCACATTGAATCAGTTGCAATTGCTTATTCTGCTTGTTTGCTGATTGTGTAAGGGTTAAAGAATATGAACGCGAGCTGGTGTTCTATGGGATAGAGTCCCAAGCATTAGATAAAAAGCCACGAAGGCGGAGCACTGAACTACTGGGCCGAGACGTGTTTGGTCAGGTGCGTGTGATCATTTTCTAAGCAAACATAGTAATGTGACTTACACAAATCGTCATGTATTTCATAAGGAACCTCCTTCGTTAACCACAAGTATTGTCTAGCTCCTTGTGCAGCTCTCTTTAAGGTGTCTCTTAACGGTCCATCTACATCACCTTGGTTACGGGTATCTACGTCATCATGATCACTCAAAATGATATCACCTTCATAGAAATGTTTATTTTTTCCTAAAATGGATGAAACAATTTAATTTGTTTCACTTCGTGTTTGAATGATTAGAAGCTGGCTGTTGCCTGATAAAAAGCCAAATGTTACCTTTGTTAATTCTAATGATTCTGTCTGTAACAGAATTATCTGGGTCGTCAAGGGAAGCCTGTTGAAGGCGGAGCTCCTGATTGAATTTTCCTCGGACTTCGTATTGTGCACCTTGATCATCTAAAAAGAAATCGTGAGAAGTTTAATTATAAAAAGGTCTAACGACGCTTGTCGAGGCTGGGCACTTCACTTATTTTTCAAAATCGGAATAAGCAAAAAATATATAAATACATTGTACATATACTATACTTAGTGAAAGTTCTCTATGAAACGTCCCTTAAAAGCGATCCACCACATGGAAAGTTTTGATTCGGCCAGAAAGTAAAAATAGGTCGAATTGTCTGCTGCGCGCGAAAGATATTGACTTTTTTCAATTATTAAAATTTTTCTTTAAGTCATAGCTTCTTGGCATAAACTATTGGTTGTTAGTGATATCATAAAATATGTAGCTCAGTATCAACATAGTTTTGGCTAGATAAGTAAGGTTAGCGTTAAGAAAATTAAAGGTTTTTCTTCAAACACTGACATTCGTAAAATACTGACATTCGTATACCTTATGGCAGGGACTGCGTTGATGTATGAAATTTTCTTTGCATTTTTTCCCAAACGTATCGATCATGTGACATTTTGCCTGAAGACTTCCGAATAGGTATAATAAGTTGTTTCTTTCCCCAAGGCGAGGACACACGGGGCAACTCGGTTTGCGCGCATCAAATTGCGTTGTGACATTACTCGCAAATTCACTGCCAGAACTACTGCATGTCTTCAGTCCGGCTTTCTAACCCACTAAGCGCTGTGGAGCTCTCAAATAATTTCAAAATAGAAATACATATAAGAATGACATACCTTGTTTCGTGATAAAAGGTGAGCCTTCAGTGAATGATCCATAAACCAAGACGAAGATAAAGATTTGATAATGCATTTTTTACCCGAGAAAGAAATCTTAAGTATAACATAGACGTGGAAAATATTCAACTAGCAACAGGCTTCGAACTACTTATCAAGCACTGAACTGACAAAAAGATCCTTAAACGGTACAGTTAATAGAACACTATAGTTCTATAGAAATTGAATGCTTGTTTTAGCTTAGTACAGGAAATTTACTTGAGCTGTTAAGTTTCTCATACTTGTTTTTGTGTTTCTATCAATAGGATTGGGTTTATCATTCATGCTAAAAGCAAACAGTTTACCAATGGCAAATATTAGATGGCATCGTATTAAGAGTATTTTTTAAAGTAAAATACTTCACTTGATTGTCAGCGTGTGCAATATCAAAGCAACCTTTTAAATTTCCCCGTTTTTGATTAAATTAGTTCCACATGTCCATTCTACGGAGGTTTTTCAATAAGCAAATAGTTTATCAGTGGCAGATATTTCATAGCCGGTATCTTATAATTGTACTTTTAAGGTAAAATTCTTCACTTACGATAATTGTAATATCAAAGCGCAGCCCTTTGAATTCCAAATAGTTTATCAGTGGCAGATATTTTATAGCCGGTATCGTATAAATGTATTTTTAAGGCCGTAAAATACTTCACTTGCAATAACTGTAATATCAAAGCGCAGCCATTTAAATTCACCCTTTTTTATTGAATTCATTGAATATAGGAAGGTTTTTTTTTTTGAGCACTTCGGGTTATCTTGATCTTCTATTCCCTACGATCCAACACCATCTGCGTACATGTAAATATTTGTTGTGTAAGGTGTAAACGTGTGTAGAATGAGCTTCCGCGGCGGACTCATAGTATCTCTTCTGGTTATTCAGTCAGTTGTAAAGAAGGCTTTTCAATTCTGTTAACTCGTTATACTAAAGATTAAAGTGTATATCAAGGGGGGGGGGGGGGGAATCTATTTTCAAAATCACTTTATGGGAACAGTGTAGTACTATGGTTGCAGTATTTTTGTATGTGGACTTCTATTTTCAGAGATACAAACATYTAAAATATCAATATGCAAATGAGATGACGTAAATTCAAGAATGGGTTACATTTTGCAGTGTAATTTACGACAAGTGTTCTGAAGTGAAATAACCAAAAAGTGTACAAAGCCATATATTTCAATCATAAGGATAATTTGCAAATGAAAAAAACAGCAGTACTTTCCACAACAGCATTTTTGTATAACAAATTAGTCCTGAATTTACGTCATCTCATTTGCATATTGATATTTCAAATGTTTATATCTCCTAAAAAAAAATTTTATATAAAAAAATCACCGTACCCATACTACTACACTATTCACATATAAGTGATTTTGAAAGAAAAAAAAATTCCTTGATATACACTTTAACACAGATGGATCATCCGCGTCATTCTCCCATCTGATAATCAGTTCGTAATTTTGTAATTTCACGTACTCCAAAATTTCGGCGGCATTTTACTGTAGAATATAATTTGAATAGCTTCCTCAAACCACTTGCGGTCAAGTAATATATCCGTGGTATATCTCATTTATTCATACAAACACCATCAGTACTGTTAAGTAGTGCTAAGAATAGACCGTTTTCTCATGGTTGCGTGCGCATCCAAATTTAAGGAACTTGACGGGCCACGATACCAGAACAGAAGCTTTATAATGAGAATTATCATACATTGCTACAAATTTTTAAATAAAAGACACGAGTATTATCATGCATTGCTATGAAATGTTTTTTCGATAAGAATTCTTAAATCGATTATTCTCCCCTTTAAATATAAAACTGGATTCTCAATTTTACTGAATTTGCGTTTTTCAATTTTGTGGCCCGTCATGTTGGATGCGCACGCAACCTTGAGAAAACGGTCTATTGATTGACCCATCACGCGATGTATGACATATATTGTGAACCAACGAGATAGCAAATACTTACACTGTAAGGTTTATTTTAGGCGCTTTATTTACGCGTGCTATGTCAACAAACGTTCAATAACTAAAGCCCCTCAGTTTAAATTAATCCTAGTAGGTAGTCTAGATAAATAAATCTAGCAAAAAATATAAGAACCTTTAAAAGACATTGCCTCAGGCCTTTCAAAAACATGATATGAACCGAAACAGCTATGTTTGAAATAAGGAGTTTTAAATATATAGATTCAAGCGCTTAAGGGCAGTATACTCAGGCATAAACTTTTGTGGGGGAAAAAAAAGGCTACCATGTGATGTCGTTCCATTAATTATGATACTGATTGAATATAATATGGAAACCTCTTATTTGAAAAATGAATGGTTTTAAATAGTTGGCCGAACTGAGTCTATGAAAAGTACACATGCCGGAAAAATTTACGTTATTCTGTTTTTGGTTTTTATATGAATGAATACATTAAAAAAAACACATAAAATTGAGCATAGCTTACGCAAGATATCAGTGTTAGCCATCGCCATCACGATAAAAGAATGATGGCTCCTCATAGCTAGGCTAAAGCTATGTCTACCCAAAAAGGATGCATGTATCTCTGCTTGTATGGTTCTTTCCAAAGACCAAACATGGAAGACTCTCGAAATGCGGAAAAAGGAATACCCATAAATATTAGCAAGGGTTGTCCATCCTATTAGTTTTCCGGTTCTGACATTACCGTAACCAACCCAATAGTATTGCTAAATATGCTCCATTTTCGAATTCTGTGTTGTACAGGGTTAGCCTCGATTTCGTACGGAATCATTTTGAATATTGATGTGTTCTAGTAAAGGTCCATAGAATTTCAAAGTGTTTGTATTGTTGAAGTTGTGCATTCTTTACTCTTTGCCGTAAGTATTTGTGAATATTTTCCCACTGAAATGAGGTAATTTGGAACATGAATTGGCTCAGTGGTCTAGTGGTATGATTCTCGCTTTGGGTGCGAGAGGCCACGGGTTCGATTCCCGTCTGAGCCCACTGTTAATGTTTTGTATCGCCTGGTGCGAAGTAGGGATCTCCTGAAGGCGTCGCAGGGTCATGTCTTTACATTATACTATATACACTACAGTTCAATATTTAAGGTCTTTTTTTTTTTGGGTATACGTCTACAGATATATTACTACTTTTAAATTATTTGTCCATATAATATTTTATTATTAATTATTTACTTATTTACTTAATTTATTCTCTAAGTGTCCCAGAGTAGTGTGCTACTTGTGGTATGCCAGAAGTTCGACACGTTAATAAAGTTTATGTATGTATGTATAACTTTTTTACAAACATATTTTTGAAAGGAGAAACAATGCTACAGGTTCGAGTTCTCTTTGCTCAGCCTTAGTCTCGGTTGTGAGCTACAAATATTCAGCTATTCAACCAAAACCTTCAACACTTAGATATATAAACAGAGAATACTGCTATTAAGACCAATACGCAGAAAAATGTCTGTAGAAGCTAGTGATTAGAAATTCGTTTTTAGTTCGAATTACGTCACACTTCTATACACCGAATCGAAAAATGGCGACCAATTTGAATAACTATTGTTCTGCACTAACAAGCGACTGACTAGCCTCGTGTTCATGTGGAAAAATCAAAGCGTTTTCACATGTATGAGAGGCTAGTCAGTCGCTAGTCAGCGGAGAACAATAGTTATTCAAATTGGTCCCCATATTTCGATTCGGTGATTGTACAGCTGTAGGAAAGGCTGTGACTGCCGCTTCTAGCCCGACCTCCATGTTCAGGGGTTTAATTTAACGAGAGTTTAACGACATGAGTTTTATTAAAGGGAAAAAACACGCAGATAACAGTTTGGATAAAAGCTTTATTATGTTTTCAAGACTACCTCGCTGATTAAACAGAAAGAACCCAACACCAAGAATATCTAGCATAACCTGAAATAGAATACAATTGAAAGTAGTTTATTATAGGAGTCAGCTCTTCCAATGCTTGATTCTTAGAAGCAGAGCAGGACGATATGTTTTATGATCTATCCAGCCTATTAAAAGTACACTATTTGGTGATTGCCTCGAGTCCAAGACTACGTGAACACTAAAGCCTACAGGAATTCAGTTCATTACCGCAGTTAATTACTGCACCACGAAAGCTCGTACGAATAGTTGATTTATAAACAGTATTCAGTTACCTTTTTTGTTCAGTATCAGCATAAACGACATGTTTTCTTACAATTCTGTCGGAATTGATGGTACCGAGTAAAAGAACAGAAATATCTGTTCGCTTGACACCAAGATGTTGACGATCGGTCAACACAACGAGGAGGAGCTGTCAATCAAGAAAAAAGCTTTAATAAATTCGTTTAGATGATGCTTTTGATTTTATCTGTTAACAATGATGTGACATTTTCGATAGAGCCAAACAAAAAACAAAAAACAAAAAGACAAAAACAAAACGAAAACACACACATAACAAACAAAAAATCGAATTCATGTCATGTGACGAGACGGTAACAACCATTTCAATTGTATGAGGAGTTACCTTTCAAGATGTGCTGTTGTTTGACTTTGTCTACAACTTCAAACAACATGGATAGACCAAGTTTGATATTTCAGACCACATGACATTCTCTCGAAAACAATATCGCTTATTTGAGTTGTATCCATATTCATGTGTCTTCTCATACGCAACCGTTAAACAAAGATTTGATAAGGGAATGACACGTGGTCTTAAGAGCGTAAACATTGCACCAAGACGAATTAGGTCTATTCTATTTAAGCATCATCTTCTTCGACTTTTTTCTCTACTCACTTGTACAGAATCTACAACTCTTCCTGCAGTTGGTGTGCATGTAAAGAGAGTTGCGCCAACATTCTCCTATTGAAGCCCAATAGCGACAGTTATTGTTGTAATCAGTGCACCCTATCGATAGAAAAATAATGATATCAAACACGAGCTTAATAAACAGTTATTAAAAACATTATTGATTATTACAAAACAATTAGGAATTATTAGGTTGATTTCAATCTTAGTCGTAGTTGACGTATATGATTTAACTAATATGATGCAGAAAAACCTACAGCTTCTACATTTATCATGTCAAGTTCAAAAAAGTTCCATGTCCGCTTTCAAGCGTCAGCTTATAGATTTCTTCCTTGACCGTCTTAAATATACACTTTAAATGCGCAAAATACCCGATGGTGCAAAATTTGGCATTCAGGAGTTAACCTGTGTCCTTCCCTCTTTTTGACTTGATGTATCCTCTTGAGCTTTGTGGAAGGAAGATAGGAAAGCTGGACAACTCAAAGAAAAATCTTCTAATCTGCTCTTATGTTTAGACAAGTTTAGAGGTGAGATCAAGTCTGTACGATCACCCTTGATTCCGGCCGTAAATACGGAAATCCTTCCTTTCAAAATGCCAATAGAAAATTAATAAAGCAATTAGCCATTTCAAAATTGAGCAAAAACATGGATCAAGTTGACATTGCAGTACGTTGTGAAATTGTTGTTTTAGGAGATATATTTCAATAAAGGTAATTGGCATATACCAACTTGTGTACTTCCTAAGAACGCGCGCGCTCATTGGTTAATTAGAGGTGAATATTGTACAATATTCACCTCTGAATCTCGCCGGAACATTGAGTCGGCAACAAAATGGCATCTGCCGGCAATTGTTTTGCTACAATTTCCGATGAGGATATAATTGGCAATAATTGCTAAATAGTCCCACAAATGCCCTGCACATGCCAACTCAGCTTGATATCAACCTCGTAATGACTAATACTTACCAGAGGAGCATCTGCCGCAGCTCTTCTTGCAGTAGACATTCATGTACCTAGGGTTTCTCGTACACTCTCCACGGTTTGCCCAGGATTGACAATATCTGTCGTAATCTTGGCATGTTGGAGCTTTATTTGCCATTCAAGGACAGAATAATGTTATTGTTATTATTTAGGATCAAGCTAGTATAGTTTAGAGTTTTGACGATATATCAAGTAAACATGGTAAGACATTCGTACCGTAAGCATTACCTTTTTTAAAGGAAAAATGATTTAGAAAATTATGTTTCACAAGTAACAATTAAAGTTCCCACACACCCATTTTAAATCCTAACAATAGATATTGATTCAAATTTGACTTACCTTTTGTTGGTGGAAAGGTCCAGGGGCGTTTGGTTGTGGCTAGAGTGGTGACTATAGGTAGTTTCGTGGTGACTACCGGTGGTTGGGTAGTGACTACAGGTGGTTTGGTTGTGACTACAGGTGGTTGGGTAGTGACTACAGGTGGTT